GATCTCTCTGATAGGATATTAGGCTTATCTACAAGCTCTCAAAACCCCTTTGTGATCGAAAATATACAGTGCATTCAGTACCATTTCAAATCAGGAATACCTGATACTTCTCCTAGTAAATAAGACTTATGTAAGCGCTTTCCATTGCAATTGGACTAGAATTTTTTGTACTGGAAAAAGAAAGCAATATGTAAAAGCCATTCCTTGCTTTTACTGCTACAGAGGAAATCAATGTCCATCTCCATTTAACAAGGATTAAAAATTTAAAGCAACAAACACAGTGACATTCCATACCACTTCTGAACCTGAAGAGTCACTGGTTCAGCTCATTTAGGAGTCTGCAGGCTACAAGGCAGTTTGCATCAAGTTTCAGTATTGCCTAATAAACTCTCCTGAGTTTATGAACTACCGATTACTAGCCCAGGGTTAAAAGGATTATCACTTTGAGGAGGAAAAGTAGGAAACCTTGGTGCAGTGCCAGGATTATGAGCAAGTGGTTTTACACCTCATTTGGCTTCTTTATTATGCCATGTGACTGCAACAGTCCAAGCTGAAACAACACTGGTAGGAGTCACGAGATGGGCCTCTTGGTGAAGGTGGTCAGGGCTACCCAGCAAGCACCATACAATAGCTGGGGTTGGAAGGGACCTTTACAAGTTGGCTAGTCCAGGACCCTGCAATGAGCAGGGACATCTGCAAGTAGATCAGGTTGCCCAGAGCCCTGTCTGACCTGACTCTGAATGTTTCCAGGCATGGGGCATCTACCACCTCTCTGGGCAGCCTGTGAAAGTGTTACCCTTATCATAAAAAAAATTTCTTTCTTGTATCTGACCTGATACAAGTTTAAAACCACTATCCCCTTTCCTACCACAACAGCTACAAAGTTCCGCTTAGGATCCATCTGTTGTGATGACATCTTGTGAAACACCCTCACACCAGCAAAGCCTATTTACATGAACAAATAAAATGGGAAGAGAGAGGAGAACTTGACCAAACTTGTCTTCATAATATATAATACAAAACGGAAAAATATTAAGCATGTATTTTGTGAAGCAGATTTAACTCAACCAGCAAAAAGACATAACAAGAGCAGCAGGATAAAACATCCCTTGATTGATGTATGCCAAATATACAGTGATTTGAAGATGAGATGTAACCATAATATGCTAACCAGATCTTCATTAACACTGCATTTCAGCCTGTCTTCTGTAACAAGTCTGCGGGGGGAAGCAGTAAAAGCATTCACTGCAGCATTTTTTTGCCCGTGTTGACACAAAACCTCTAACACCTGCAACTGCCACCAAGGAACGATTTTCCAAAATTGGATTCTGATTTTTTTCTCCCTAAACTCTCCAGAACTCCCACCCAGTCCAACAACATCAAATTCTCTTTCCCTGCTTGCCAAGTTCTTTCCCCATTGTGAAAACATCTACGAGCCATTTGCAACAACACTCCTTAAAAAGCTAATTCTCTGAGGCAGTCACACAAAAATCCAACAGACATTTCTGACAGCTGAATGAGACTGGATTTATTATTCCAAGGCAAGTGAAGCCAATAACCAAACCTTGATGCTCTTTGTCTTGCACTTTGCTGGACCTTCCCATTGCTTCTTGGGCAGGGAACGAAAGTAAACAAAAGAGAGGTTGTGTCCCAGTACAAAAGTCCTTCAGCTGCAGAAAAATGAGATGCTGCTGTTGTGCATGCGAAGCATGAAGTGCCCTATAAAGAGCAGATTATCCGAAGGGGATCAGAGGGACTTACCCCAACCCCTAGTATCCTTTTTTTCCTCTCATCTACTTTCAGTTCATGAAGAACCTGCCGAAATAACCACCAGCACATAGCTGAACCCAGCAGGCAGAAAGAGAAACTCAGGTCAGCAGGCAAGGGCAACACCCGCTTGCCCAAGCAGGCACCACAAACTTCTCATTCACTACCACAACTCACAAATGCAGGCTACACACTTTCTGAACTACAAAGCCAAGTTTTGTTTTTAGCACAGAAAGCTCCAGGCAAAGCTGATGACCTGAAAGAGCATTCTTCCACTCTAGACAACCCCGCTTGAATAATAAAAGCACAGAAGAAAGTGTCATGAGTAGCCCATCAACCTTTTTTGAAGTGGAAATGTTTAGAAACCATTATAGAAATGCACCAACATAAAAAGGGAGAAAAACAAGCATTGCAAATGCCTAACTTCATTAAAGCCACTTGTAAGATACTCTCATTTCCATTTAGTTTTCAAAGAACAGGTATATAGAAAACACACACACTTCTAATACAGCTTCAATTCCAACCTAACAAGGGAAAATAAAACTTCACACTTCACAGGGAATCAAATAATTTTTGTTTTCCCTGTTATTTTGTTTTGGGGGTAGAGTGTTTTGCCTTTTCCCCCACCCCCCTTTTTGGGCTTTGGGTTGTTTTTTGTGGTTTTGGTTTTGTTTTGGTTTTTGTAGACAGTACGTATGGGAATGTAGGAAAGAGAGCATTTGAATTCAGACAAGTTGCTGATACCTTAGCAGTGAAACAAATCATATGCCCTGCAAATCATAAAAGCACCACTTGTTCAGAAGACTAATCCATGAAGTCCTGTTTTGAAACATCATCACCTGGATCAAGTCTGGAATACTAAACACCGGTGATAATGATCAGCAATAGTGCAAAAACATTCTTAGAGCAGCCTTGAGAGAACTCGTCAAGAATGATCTGACGCTGGATGCAGTCATGGTATGCTTGAGAGTCTCTAGGCCTAGGAATAAAAGTTTCCATGAAACATCTGCTGAAAAATTATTCTCTGACAGTTTGACTTAAGTGTCAAATAACACACACTCTAATGAGCCTTAACAATTGCAGTCTTCTCTAGATGAAATCCAGGAGATTGAAAACAAAAAAAAACTCGTTTCTGAGATAAACTAAATACTGACATCCTAGAAGGAACAATCAGGGAAAAAGTCTCAGTGTTCTCTCCTATGTCAGACCTTTTAATAAATAAATAATAAACTGAAAGGAGAACAGGGAGATTACAGAAAATAAACTTTCCACACATTCTATGAACTATTATAATTTGCTTTTTGCTCTGTTATGTTTTTTAAGCAAATACCAACTTCAATATTTACTTCGACAGAGCCTGCACACAAAAGGACATCTCCCATATGGCAGACTTCACTTGCACAGTAGACAAGGATTAATGCAACTTGGATGACCATGTCAAGAACAAGACAATCCAAAAAGAACAGTACAATCCTGTATTTTCAAAACATAATGATTACAGGCTCAAAACAGATAACGCAGAAGATGCTTTGCAGCTGAATACAGCAACACCGAACTCCAAACAGCTCTGAGGACTGATAAGACCATTCTGACAGAAGGAATTCTACTCCGCAGGAATTATAGTTACATTTTACGTGTAAATAATAAACAGTTAGATAAAATTCATGCAATCAGGAGGGTAAAGAATGAGAACTGGCAAAGGGACAAATGAACTACACTGACATCCACAACTGATGCAAATGGAAACACTAATCAGTTTAAATGCTAGACTTTTTTTTACCACGCAAAAGCAAATGCACAAATACTATTTTGAACTATGAATTAAAGTTAGAGCAAATTCACAAAAGAAGCAGTCACAAAAGCTTACAATTGTGACACTCTGAGTTAAAAGCATGTTTCAGATTTGGATTTGTACCATCTCCCCAAAGGCTCTTGCAAAGACATCTGTATCATCATCTGTATCATTTCTTTTCCCATACTGCAATGACTGATTGCTCAGTCTTAGTAATAGCATTTCTCACTATCTACATGTCCTGTACCATGGGTTCCAAGACTTAGAACAATATTTATTACCATTTGCCTGGCAACTGTTGTACCAGATACCGTTTTGCCACCTAAATCATACCTCTCAAGACGTAAAGTATGTGGAGAAGAGGAAGTGTGTAACAAAGCCAAACAGCATTATTTTCTAGACAAAGGAAATTTAGTAAAAATTAGTAGCTGATTTCTATCCTGTTTTTTGTAACTTGAGTTACTTTCCTGTCTCACTCCCAACACAGGTTTTCACAACATAAAGGAACTTACAAAGCTTTTTAGGATACAAAGAAGGCAATCAGCTCCCCTTCAAAGGTTCCCAGGTCTACACAATGTGTTCCCATAAATGTGCGTCAGCAATGTCTGTAAAGCACATGATTCTGCCATGTCTCATTTGACTTTTGCATAGGGCTACTTAAGGTATTTGTAGTGTTTTACTACTTCTCTAATGAGTTTCTTACTGCAACTAAGAAGATAATATTTCTTTAAATCCAATTTATTTTTCACACCTTTTAAAAGCAATCACTTAAGCTTCAAGTCTTATGAGAGGAAAAAGTCACAGGGCATCTGAAATCAAGTACTTTATTAATTACTCAAATAAATAAATTTGAAATATTATCATCAGTTGAAGTCCTGCCCTCTGGCTTTTTTGCTTTGAAACCCTATGCAATGACTTTATTCTCTGAACACCATAAACAAGCAAATTCTTAAGATGCAGCAATCAATAGAAGCCAAACATAGCTCCTTCACTAGGCAGAGCAGCTTTAGTATTTTCCCAGTAAGATGAAATCACTGTAAAAAATTTGGTGACTGGATGTACAGAGTTATTCTTTAGTATGACACACAATATAGTTTTCTGAGAGCAGTGATATCAGTCAGTCACCCCACTCTGTTATCGTGAGGCTTCTAGGTAATGACACACAAGTCTTACATGAAAGTAAGAACATTAAGTAACAGTTAAAGAATGTCAGTAACCGTCTTTTCAAAGACAGACTACCCACAGCTCCCCATAGCAGGGACTTTTCAAAGGAAATGTAACTTTGCCTTTGAGCAGCTATAAAAGTCTCAGTAGTGACTAACACAACTGATTTAAGCATTATGATATTAACAAGCCACCATGGTACTACACCTTGTTCATTAGTAATAAATTTGTTCTATTATCCTAAGAAAAAGACAAGGCAGTGTGTGTGCTTACTCACCCTCACAAGGCTGGGAGCAACACATGAGCACGGTATCTTGATATTCTTGAGGCACTTTTCATGAGACATGAAGTTGCAAACTGCAGAAATAAAATAAAAACCTTGAGCAAGTCTTCACAAGCAAGAGACTTCGTGAAAAAAAAAACACAAAAAATAATACGGCGTCAAATACAGCTAGGAATGCATCTTTTAAATCATATTTTATTTCCCCTAAGTTTGAAAGTGGACACAACTGTCACACTTCTTGCTGTGCATGAACTCCAGCTCATTTTGGCAGTAGAAAAGCAAGAAGAGTTTATACCAATGCACCACAGGACTACAGCAAGTTATGCCCTCCCAGAATCCCTCTCCATAAGCACCAGACTGAGCTCTTGAATTCCAAAAGAAATTTTAAACAGTCTGAAGTTAAAAATACAGCTGTTTGATGTAGCCAGAGCAGATAGAGATTTCTGAAAGTGAATTATTCTACAGGCTGGTGCATGTGACAGGAATAAATGGGAGAAAACAACAGTACTGTTACACACTGAGTGTAATGGATGAAGGAGATGAAATTAAAGGTCACCGGTTGCATGCAGCTTTGAAAGCCAAGAGCAATTAATTATCTCTTTCACTGTGGAAGCAACAGGTTTAGGATTCCACCCAAGCTCCACAAAGCATACTTTCAAGCACACCAGTGTTTGAAAAAAAATCATTTCTCATGGTGGTGATATTTTCCACAGCTTCTTACCATGGATCTACATGAGGTTAAGCTGTGCAAAGAAAACAAGGGATTCTTTATTTCACACACCCCCCCCCCCCCCTCTTAATTAGGAACTTTTAACACATGCTGCTATGTCTTTAGAGTTCTCCTTCTTTCATAATTACTGTCGTACCATTTCAAGTGTGAAGCCTTACACAGATGCTTAAAACCTCTGCCAATGTCTGGGCAGAAGATCACTTGCTAGAGGTAACTGTTGCTGTACAGAGGAGGTTTTCCCATGTCTCTGCTTTTCAGAAGCACACTTACCACTTCCTAAGTTTCACCAGCAACTGAAAAAACTCAATGCATTTCAGGCTTCCCATTCTGTAGACCACTGCCATTACTGACTTCATGTGTTAGTGCCATTGCAAGAAGACAATTTTCCCCATTACCCCTTCTCTAGCTCAGCAACTTCTGATTTCACATTCCTGCTTCTCCCATGACAACTAAAGCACTAAAATCCAAGTCCACTTCTCTATGTGGCTTACTGCCAAACCATGCAAGGTAACCCTTCCCTTTGGAGGCACAAAAAGAAAGATGATCCCTTTCACACTGGCCCTCCTCTTAATGTGAGCAGACATTTGTTTTCCATTAGACTGCAAGTCAGAGAAAGAAGGAGCACTGCAAGTCACTACTGCGTACAAAGATGTTATTCATCACCCATGGTGTAACACAATGATTACTGTACTGTTGAAAGAAAATAGGAACAGAGCAAATCCAAACCTTTTAATGGCTGCTATTAAGTGTTATGTGCATCTTTAAGGTTAATAGGGTTCCTGGCTAAATGGGTGGAAACAGTTTGCAAAGGGATGATTAATGCAGATTCTGAGAGCTACAAATGCAGATGTCCAACACCTCTGAAGGTGGTCACCATGGATGAAGGAGCAGAGAGCCCATCAGCACAGAAGAGACCAAAGAGAACAAGTGATTGACTGGGCAGAGGAAAGATGCACCTTCTGCTCTAAAAAACAGGTACAAGCCCACGCGGTGAATAGGTAAATTCTTACCACATTTACGTAATGTTATCACAACATGGATGTAGATGGATGTAACCTACTCTCTCCACAGGTCTCCACAACACTTCTACGGACACTTTTAGGAGGGTCAGCTGGTCGCTGTGAAAACAGGGCTGCAGAGGCTGCGGGAGAAAACCTACCTGCCCATTACTACCTAGTCCGCAATCTACCACATACACCCTGCCACTGCCAGAAGACATTTGCCGCAGCCATCTGTTTAGGCAGCCTCTCCACTGCCTCAGAGATGCCTGAAGCTCAGCTGAACCTGGCTAGGTGAGGGGGACTGCAGGCAGAAACATGGTGACAAAGGCTCCCATGGCTTTGGGAGCCAACCCACAGTTGGTGACAATACGAAGCTTCAAATATAATCAGGCAACCGTCAAAAACTTCATAAAGGAGAGCTAGTCAAGGGGAAATCATCAGTGACCAATGAAATCAGTGAAATGGCACTGCTTTCCCTCATTTTTCTGGTTCACAAGCAGGCAAACTGAAAGAACAAAGCAATGCACTACATATCGCTCCCAGAAATGTTATGATCTGCAGAAGAAGCAGCAGGCCCTTGAAGTCCACAAGACAAGTATCTCCAAGTGGCTATTTGCTTTTATTTCAAGTGTGAACACAGTAACTCAATACACAAGTTAACCAGGCCCTGCACAAGCACCTCTGGGAATTCAGAGCAACGGCTATCAGGCACCACAGGACTGCTCCACATCTGGCATGAGGCAAAGCTTTACAGCAGTTTCTGCCCATAAGCCTTCACTTCCCAGAACACATTTTACTTGACTTGGTGATTTAATAAAGACAACACATATGTATGGCAGCACCCAGTAAACATACAGTAGCTCTCCAAACTACACTTCTAGGAAAACAGAAAACATCCCTCTCCAGCCCTCCCTAGGAAGGCAGGAGATAAAAGCTGGGCATCACTCTTAACTCATGAGCTGTGTAACACTCGATAGCAAAGCAAGGGCTGTTTTCACCCTCGAATATGCCACACTTTTTCCACACCACCCTTTTTCTTTCTGTCCTCAATACAGACTTCAAAGCAAATCCCACAAGTAGAAAGAAGAAAAGGTGGATTACGTGCCGTACAGACTCTACCAATGTATCAGTGACCCATGTAAACATGGCTGGGTGAGAAACGCTTACGAAATAACCAGATTTGACATATATTCTTCTCACACTTTTGAAAGGACACAGAGTCCTGAAAAAAATGCTAGGTGTTGAAAATCAGTTTTGTGTGCTCTTTGAGGAAATACTTACCATAATTCAGTTTTGCTGCTTTTCAAACATAAATTTATTTGTAATTTTGTATTTTAACACATAAGTCTATTTCTTTATATTTTTTTTAACTTTAACAACTGTATTTCTAAAGTAGAGCTACCAAATTGATCTCCAAGGAGGATCATGGAATGTCAATACAAAGACCAAAATAGATTTGATACTCTCATGGAAGTGCGATCAGTTTAACACACAACTCACTATGGACCTATTCACATATGTGGGTTTTTTTGACAGTTACACAGTGGGCAAATATTTCCCTGGATGCATCATTACACCTCTGTCTTCACCTTTTGCCTAATCTGCAAAAGCTGACTCAAGGCTCATCAACTTGCAAGAGTATCTGTCCCCCCCTTCATACACATCACTTTACGTTCATCGACAACAGGCAATCAGATGGTAGATCAAAATGAATTCACTTAAATAGATTTGTCAGCAGCCAATGTCCAACATGAACTCTCAACTCACTACCGGCCTTTGAAGAAGGGGTGTTGGGTTGTTAACAAGAGAGTCAAGTAGCATACACCCTACTAAGATCACTGCCACAACTCCACTTGCAACCTCGATCGAGTTCATTGCTTCCCTCTATTGCTTTTGTCTGCAACCCAAACCCTAGGCCTGTAGTCAGTGTGGTTTTATTTTAGCATTTCACACGCTATGAATGCCAGCTTTCAGTTCTGGAGGGAAACTCCCTTGCACAGTACCTCAGTTATGCCTGTCTTCTGTTAAGATGCTCAGAAAACAAGACAAAAAATAAAGGCTGTGGTTATAGCTAGCAACTGATTCTGGCACTGGACCACCCTTTGGGTGGCCACAGGAATGTTGCTTACCTTTTCTTGAGCACATGGAAATTGTACAGGACAAAAAAACCCCAACCTTCTACACAACAGGTGTCTGCAAGTATTACAAGTGTTCTAGATGTTGCCTACCCAAACGTGTCAACCTTAAAAGGTTATCTTTATAAAAAGATGGAACACAGTAGGTGGAGAAACATGAAGTCCTCATGAGGTATCTAAAGTGCAACTTTACTCCTCCTGTCCTGAACTGGAATGTGCCTTTGCACTCTGCACATATGTTATGGTTAAAAATTTGAAGTATTTATTTCGGAAATTAAACACATTTATAAATAGCTTCCTGGACCTACAATTACATTCTCCTCATCTCCACAGAAACTTCCATCCTTTATCACAAACCCGCACACCCCAAGATTCTGTCTCCTCCTTTTTAACATGACAACCTTCAATTCATTACTGCATTTTATGCATCAAATAAAACTCATCTTTTTCCATCTGAACAAATCACAGCTGCTTTTTCTGCAACATTTTCTGCCAGTTGAAGATGGGTAGGTCTCTGAAAAACCAGGATCATGCCACTTAATGCTTCCCACCACGCTGGCAGAATTAACCATGGGAGGACTTCAACAGGCCACAACTGCCCGGAAGATTAATTACCCCTAGAGAGGAGCAACTGTTTGAAGAGAAGGGGGACACAAAAAATCCATCTCCTTACCAGTGACGTAAGGGTAAGATCACAGATGTTTACCTTGTGATAACTCTGATCAGAGCCCGCGCTGCTAGTGGATAGATCCAAGAACCACCAGTCTCCTGGCTGCAGACTCCAGGGTGGTGAGCACCCAGACGACACCTCTAATGCTATTTCTCCAGGGAACTGTTGGGAGTTTCGCAGGCTCCTTGGACAGGTGACAGCAAGACACTTTTTTCACTACCATGTGCCTGCTGCAACAGACAACTGACCTTGGCAAGAAATCAGAGCCATCAAGTTTAACAGCAGTCTCAGAGCAGCACAAAATGCACTTTCATAGCCTTGTGCTTTACAATAAAGGTGACTATGTTTCAAATGCAGCAGCTACTACAGGAAGAATAACTCAACCATTTACTCCAAAGGGGTAATTCACTTTATCAGGGTGAATTTTTCAATTCCTTTGCAATACTTTAAGTAATTTTCATTTTCATTAACTCCAGTAGAGAGCATTAGAGTGCAGTACATCTGACTATGTAGTCTGAAGAGTTAACGTCAGGCTCCT